GCCTCTTGTGACCCTTGGATCTTGTGTCCCTTGCACTCTTGGACCTTGGATCTCGTACTCTTGTGTCTTGTGCTTTATTGCTTGTAGCCTCTTGTGTCCAAGGCTCTCATGTGATATTTGGTGATGCCGATGTCTTTATGACATTTGGATGCTTTCTTTGTTGATGGACTTGATGGTTGTACTTTTATTTGGTGATTGAACTAGAGTCTGGACTTTGTAGAGTGTATTAGTATACAATCATATTAATGTGATTTCTTGACACCTGAACATATTTTGATGATATATAAGGTGCTGGAACAAGGTGCAGAGAATCTAAAAGTATGTGCTATTCCACTCTATAATTATATCAAAATATTCAGAATCTGTTAGAATTATAGGAATAGTTTCTCGTCCTAGAATTATTCTTATAATTTTAACCTAGCTCCAACAGTGTTGCAATGTGATTAGGATATGTGTGATTTATAAGAATACATTTAAAATTTACCAGAATAATTCCTCCAGTTCTTCTGGTTCTTTAGGTTCCAACCAGAGTGGAACATAGTGTCATTTTTTGTGATGCATATTACTGCAGATCATAAGGACAAAGGTCTAGGTCTCATCCTTACTTGTACTGGGATTGCTGGATGTAGTTATCTCAAAACGATTGCAAAACCCATTTGGAAGGCCACTTGACTTAAGTACCCGTGTGATGTTCATCTGAAAGCTAGACTTTCAGTCGGTCCTAGAGTAAGCTCATTAAGTTTCGGCCTCATTTCTGCCATGCTAAAGGCACTGGCCATATCATTTATGACAACTATCCGATTTCTTCACTCTGAAAACCGATGACCCCATTCTGCACAACGACCTGATGGTTAGGATCATCGCAAGTCAACATTAGTTTAGTTGCTTAGTCGTGGATTATTACCATCTTTTAATCCAAACTCCCACCTGAAACCGAATTTTTTGTCCCTTTCCGAGACATATTTCGGGAAGCAATCGGTTTATCAAAACATAGCCTCCGGTAAAGGTGTATTTGTTTCAAATTCTGTGAAAAGGAAAGGGCCGAGTGAATTGATTTTTCCTGAAAACTAGCCATTGCAGACAATTATCAACAGTTCAGGCTCTTAGTGTTCTAATCACGGCTGGGAATTGTATTGTATAATCTTGAGAATGAATAATCAAATCGTGTGATGGATATGATGAGACGGTGCAGAACTCTACACTTTGGTTCCTAATAGATTGAAACAATACACTCCGTTTGCCTAGTGAATTTGAAACGTCATGGCTGTGAGCTGCTGTGGTCTTGTCCTCGCTATCGGAACTTTCACTCCGTTAAACACCCATCCAAATAGAATGCCACGGCTATATAAGATTTCTTTCTTGAAAATCACTTAACGATCGAGAATATCGATGTCAGGGACCATTCGACGATTCCTATGTCTTTTCCTTTTGGTTACCACTACCTTCAGTGCTCCATATACTGACAAAGATATGCACTCGACGCTTGAGGGTAAGAACACTTCTTGTTGTACACTTCACAACTTTTCTCACACAGTTTTTGTGGCAGCCAGCACCTCTAATCCAGGCTTGAAATGCTCTAGTCTGTCATGTAAATGTAATCTCCCGTTCTGTAATGTAACTTGACCTTTTCATAATCAAACATTATTCATTACTAATTATGGACTCCCTTATCATGAACAGGCAGAGTTACAGTAGGCCCTGGGTCTGTTCAAATATTTAGTTATTTATAACCACTCAAAAATTGCACCTTGAAGTAAATTGCTAAGAAACATGAAACATCAGTTCGGCAGACGTGAGTGTTTATCGCTTGCTCGGGCTCCGCAAGTACTGCCTGTCAGTACGACATTGGGGAATAAAAGAATATGGCCGTCGCGCGGCACGAACAAGCCGCATATCAGTAGCATTAAACCTGCTTGACACAGCTCTATCTGTCTGACTACTAAGCGACTAGGATGGCGATTCCATTTTCTTCAGTGCCTCCACAGCTACAAATACAATTCCCTGAGCCAGAGTTCTCTTGTGCCACGGTCACAGCGGCTTGCATTAAGAGGCTTGGTCAAAGTGAAGCATACTCCACTTTGGACTCCGAAAACGGCTCATAATTCTTTGTATCGAAATAAAAGCTTTCCCGATTTCGTTCTGTTAACCCTTCCTGTGTGAATGTAGCATCTATCCAAACCTTAAATAAACCGGAACTAGTTACAGAATGTATCCAAAACTCTTGCAATTCAACTGCGTAAATACATTCTCTCGACATGCTGTTCTCTTGTCATATTTACTTCAACAATGGAGATTTCTTCAATCTATCAACGAAGTGTCATAACGCCACTGAATCAAACAGGAGCGGAGAACTCACCTGAGGCAGCGTTGAAGACCGCCTGTTAAATAAGGGCAGCCCTACTTCATTAATCGTGCCTTGTTTGTCATCCTTCCCCATGTGAGATCCAGCATTGCCAAATGATGTGGAATCTGTGATGGTGAGGGCGTTGTCGCCAACATAAATCTCCTGTATTAGAGAATGGTCTAGTTTCTGGAAATAGTACGGTGCATTAACCCTAGGAGCGGAATAAAAATGTATGATAAATTGTTCCCTTCGAGTAGGTATTCGAAATGCTTACATAGCCAGAAATGAAATCACATAAAGTTCAGTAGAAACATTTCTCAGAGCTTGATAAATTAAATTGTCTTGCATGGTGCGAAACTGTATTTATCAGTAAAAAGAATCAAAAGTGAAACTGGACATACAGTAACAATACATGATATAGAAAAAAAGCTATGGAGATTGAATTTTTAGTTTAATTTGAAGCTGTAGCAAATTTGACTTGCTCACCTAGCCAAACAGCCAGTGTTAATAATATAAGAGGCAAGTGCCATGCGGTTCGAATTCGTCCTGTAGAAATCAATAAGTACATCAGACATAAATGACACTAACTCACCATCCGTACATTTTCCCAGACTTCGATAAAGCATAGAATAACGAGATGCTCAGAATAAAATCAATTGCTGTGGTGTTATAGAAATGAAATGTCACAATATCCTCAACAAGGATTTCCTGCATATATGAAATTCAGTGATACTCTACAGGACAGATTTCCGGAGTTTACTTGCCCCGGCGGGTCGACGAGAGTTGATGAAATCTACCACACTTTTGGCCATTGAGCTGGGAAGGAGATCTCATCATTCGGAAGAAATCTAGCTTTAGATCCTACCCACAATGTCCATGGAATGACTGGATTCATAAAAATGGGTATTAGTAGTAGAATATTTCATGTAGATTTCCTTCAGATACATACAAATATTTAGAACTATACCAGAAAAAGATCATAGCATTAGCTTTGGAAAAAATTTTCACAATAAGAGCTTCACCTATATTGGCCAAAATCATCAGGGCCTACAATTGAATATTAGTAATAAAAGTCAGGGAGGCTTGACAAATATTACCAATATACAGAATACTGCAATTCGATAACATTTAATATTTCTTGGGAATACTTAGAAGTTGCATTAGTAACCATATATACCATATCTGATTTCAATTGCTTACAGTGCCAAAGCCGTATAGCATAAAGTCTGGCAATAAAGATGAACTGAAGCTTTGAGGGAAAAAATCGAAAATATTTACATCTGGACGAGATTGGATAAAAGCAACTAGAATATTGATATATGTTAGAAGAAACCTTTTTAGAACAATTTAAGACTTACTTGAACAGCAATATTTGCCTGTTTTATATAATCAGCCTTTTGATTATCAAACAGTAAAACTTTACATACTGTGTAGCTTATTACTAGCCTACCGGACAAATCTCCTCGAGTTGTCACCAAGTAGTAGTATATGACATGTCCAGTGCTCATTATATGGAATGCACTTAGGGTCCTAATCCAATATCAACAATTATGCTGTAGTTTCGGATAAAACATACCAAACCAAAAATACCTTCATAATATTTAAAACCTTAGTTTTGCTTCAATGATGGGTTAACTACTTACCATGATTTTGTTCCAATAAAATACACATTCATTTGTTTTAAAAAATACCCATGTCTGTATTGTTGCTATTCCAAAGAAACTAGATTTGAGTATGAGTCAGCGTAATTGATCCAATCTCCCTTAAGAATTTTCAATGCAGCAATGATTGCAACTGAACTTACAAGGTAGCAAACAAATCTGCAATAAACATTGCTCCTATCGTCAAGTCCAATGAATATACCTCGCCATCATCCGACACTGTTCGATGAACAGGGTTTGATGATATTGAACCATTCATTCTTCTTTCTCTCTGTTATTCCAATTTATCCGGTTCCGTTGGGGTAAAGCAAGAAGGTTACACAGTTTGTTTAGGAGCTGAGACACAGATCCAGTGAGAAATAAGATCAGTGTTTGAAGAGAATGATAGAGTGAGCTGTTGTACTGATATAACCGCCAAGTTGCTGGTATCTATCCAAGACTACTGTTTATATTTCAACCACCGCAGCTACAAATAATGCGGGATGCACTGATGATTGAAGTATGTGTATCGATACCTGGGAAGTACGAGAGTAGTTTGGGTCTTGGCCTGTGCAAGCTACGCAGTGGACTATTGGAAGATGGCTGCAAAAGTGGGTGACTTGATAACAGATATATATAAATTCATGCATACACATCATATGGAAACACGAATCACGTGCATAGGCTGTAACTTCGACCATGGACACCAACGCACATCCTGCACGAATAATCAATCTTCTGTATATATGCCTGGGACCGCTTGTGAAGCCTAATTGAGTTTATAAATTGTTGTGACTTGATTTCTCCGAGGACTTTTGTATCTCTGTTCGATTTAAATGATGGTGGATAGCAGATATCTATTGATCGGAGCAGTTTGCGTTTCAGGTTTAAAGTACGTGAGGAAAGAGCGTTGATGATGGGAATGCGGGGACAGCCAAATGAGATAGAACTCCATCTACACATTGTTAAAGCACAGAGATCATTGAAGCAAAAACAATGAAAGCACTACGGGACAAGGGCCTGACCGGGAATTGAACCCGGGACCTCCTCGAAGGAACACCCTAACAAGGAATCATACTACTAGACCATCAGGCCTCAGATAGGTGTGTCTTATAAAATACCATCCACAGAACGGCAAAGGCTTAAATTTCGAGTAGGTTTCGAGGCAGAGGGAGTTGAAGCGAAGCAGTGGACAAAATGTCCCGCATCTGCCATTCGAAGCTTAGACTTATGATGACGGCAGGCGTTTGATGCCGCAAATTACATCTCGCATGTCAATGAAAACCAGTATTCAGTTCATTGCAAGCACAGTAAACAAAGCTGAAGCCTGTTTCGGTCTCCAAGCGTACTACTCGCTGCAGTGATTTATCTACTCCATTGCCATAAAGTTCTCGCATGTTCCAAATGCCTATCAGTAAACCGGCATTTGATTTCAAGGGACATGGAAAACCCCTGCCTACTTATGATGACATAGCCAACCAGACCGTAGTTTTCTTCGACCGCTAGTACTCATATCTCATCCTAAAACCATTGTACCATGGCCGTCCCAGAAAAGATGAAGAGATACGTTCTCCGCAACACGGACACGCAGGGGCTTGAAGGAATGACGCTGCAGACGGACGTAGCAGTACCCAAGCCAGGGCCTGGACAAGTTTTGGTAAAGGTATGGTTCGTTGTCGACTGGTGCTACCATGAACTAAAGTCTCCTAGGTTCACGCTGTTACACTAAACGCTCGAGATGTTCAAATTGCTACCAACACATACCCGAACCCCGCTCAGGCAGGTCTCCCACTCGCGTTCTCGCAACGTTTCTTGTCTTGATGATCGCGTCGTATTTCAGGCCAAAGCAGATGTCATTCCCGTCTCTGACGCGTCCTGTGAGGTGGTCGCCATCGGTCCTGCTCTTCCAGATGGAGAGCCTATTCAGTGGAAGGTTGGGGATCGAGTGGTACGTTTGTAACTTTATCGCGCGTAATGTTCTGCACTCATTCTGCTGTTCTTCCTTCCCCTTCTGCCGACGCTTACCTGACCCTAATCTTGACATGACGGCGTATGCGGGTTGCTGTCATCTGTAGCTTCCAAACTTCACCCCAGGCTTTCACGCAGGCAAGATAAACCATAAAGTTGTTTCGGTCCCGACATATGGAGGTGGAAGAGACGGTTTCCTTTGTGAATATCAGGTTGTCGCTGCTGTGAGTACTTCTTCACGTGTAGTTATCCTATCGTTAATTTGTAACGTCACACCTCTTTCCTCGACTTGATTTGACTCTTCTCCCATCGACAGGATGACCTCGTAGCAACTCCTTCCTATCTAACACACGAAGAAGCCTCGACACTCCCTATCGCAGCTTTGACTACATGTGCGTCGTACCTAGGCTTTTACCTTTGCGTCAACCCTGACCGCGGTACATATAGACAACTGTTTCTACGGGTACGATCCCATTCTGAAAGCTGGAGACACTGTCCTTTTGCTGGGTACGGGTGGATGTTCGATAGCTGGGTTGCAGGTAAGTTCTTGCCTCGACTTTCTGCGTTTCTACAAATCTTCCATCTCTCTTTACTGACCACGCCTACACTTAGATGGCCCTCGCAGCAGGCTGCACTACCATCATTACATCCTCGTCTGCTGCTAAACTTCAACGTGCAAAGGAACTCGGCGCACATCACGTTATAAACTATCGCGAGACGCCGAATTGGGAGGAAGAAGTGAAAAAGATTACAGGTGGGCGAGGGGTAGATCACGTAGTCGAGGTAGGAGGTAGAGAGACGTTGAAGAGGTCGATTGCGAGCTGTAAGATGTAAGTTTTTAGTTCTCTATTCCACAGTCATGTTCTGTTCTGTACTGATGCCGTACCTGTCTAAAGGGGCGGCGTCGTCTCCATTATTGGATATCTTTCCGACTATGGTAGTGGTGCGTCACCCCTTCCTCCACTTACAACATATACTAATGTCTCCTCGCCTGGACAGAGAAAACCGCCGACCCTTCGTACGATTACGCCAAAGCCATATTGTACTCTGGCTGTACCGTGCGCGCTGTATTTGTTGGGTCCAAGGAGCAGTTTGAGGATATGAATAGGCTGTATGAGAGAGGTGGGATTAGGCCTGTCATTGACAAGGTGAGCGCTGTTTCTCTTGTCGGCTGTCTGTGGTCCGAGTTTGGATTATACTATGTGTCGTCGTGTATGCTGCCGGGATTATCGACTCGTCTCCTCCGTTCGTAAATGCATGTACTGACAAAGGCATTTTCCTATAGGTGTTTACTTTTGAGCAAGCAAAGGAGGCGTTCGAGTATGTGTCAAAAGGACAGCACTTCGTAAGTTTTTTTCGTTTATCGACTGTACACTGCAGAGACTGATTTCTTCTGCCTAGAATAAGGTTGTTATCAAAGTTGCATAGAATTCTAGGTAATAGCGAAATATTAAATATTTGACAATACGTCAATAGTATTCTATTTTTAATTATGTCAAGTGTTTCCCATTTGCTCCTAACAAACTCCAACATTCCACAATACGCAAAGCGGTGAAAGAGCAACTGCTTACTAGTTGAATTGCTGCACTGCCCTCAAAAGAAATCCCAGTTTTCATTCATCTCCCCCAGTTTTTTGCCAACCCTTTAGCACAGTATTATTCAATACACCAGTGGGTTATATTCACGATTGCGTTGAACTCTTCCATTAAGAATTTCGTATGCAACACACAGTCTTATCTGTGTCGCCCTGCACTCGTTTCAAAATGCTGAACGTTAACTAAAGTTGCCCACAAGTGACTTACTATCAAGAAATGAAAACATTGTACATGATTCTTGTGGTCAATACAAGATATTTTCCAGTAAAAAAGGTCCACATGCAACTAAATTGGTATATTAGCTGAATCAGGTAGTAACACCTCCCTAATGAAATTTAGGTTCCCCCAACCTTTGACCCGCAAAATCATACATGCCGGTTTTTGGAGAACGAGTACATATAAGATTTCTGAGTGAGCAGTCTTCTAGATGTGTCGCGCAAAGACGAAGAGAAAGAATTGTTTGACCCGCAAAATCATACATGCCGGTTTTTGGAGAACGAGTACATGTAAGATTTCTGAGTGAGCAGTCTTCTAGATGTGTCGCGCAAAGACGAAGAGAAAGAATTGGGTGAGTGTCATTCAAATTTCTCGTTATAGATCACTTCTAAATCATAGATTACTTCTAGTACATAAATAGCAGGAAGGATTTGTAAGACTAGATACCGATTCCAAGCAGACCGTCTGTCAGTAGTTAGCGCTTTGCTGACAAAAATGACAAGTTACTCCAAGAGTAGTAAGGGCGGCCGTACTGAATGCATCTCGCCAATTTTAATGCCATTAGTAATTTTTGACGCTGGTACTATGACTCTGACCTGGTGGATTGAAAACCTTTCAGGCCGTCTTCAACCCATGGACTGATGGTGCCTTCGGGAGGAGCTGTGTCTCATACACACAGCGTGTTTCTGCTCCCACCGGCACAGATTTCAGCGGCTTTTCGTCATCAAGGTTATAGTCTGCGCGACAAGAACGTTGCACAGCCAAGCAATAGCGTTAATAATATGTAGTCAAACATCGGGATAAGTAGTCATAAACCTGAGTAGAGCCCGACTAGGGTAAAGGGTTATTGCAGCGTTTTTCAGTGGTCGGCGGTGCAGTATAAAACCCATAGTTTTGATTCAGCAAATACCTTCTTTGCTTTCTTCTCATGATTGGCCTTTCCAGCGAATTCGGCACGTATTCTGGAGACACCGGGTGCCCTAAACCAAATTTTCCGCATACGGAGGATCACAAGGTATGCCATTCCAGCACGCTGACAACAGCGACTATAGCCCATTGTGAGTAACGGACCTCCCTCTTCCTCGAGCTTGATTCACAATTTGCAAATTTAGGTCCACCGGCTCCCCTCACTAGAATACTCCATGTCCACCACGAAATCCCATGCACAATTCATCCATGTTTACATGTGCCTCTGGTTTCAGCGTTTCTAAAGGGTCTTTTGTGAACTGCGAAAATTATCACAATACCGTCAATCACTTTTACGCTGCACAGGATCAATTGCATACTATGATGCTTGATCAGCATCTCCAGGCCCTTGTGGAAAAAGAGGTAGGAAGAGCCTAATATTTTTCCGGGGTTTAGAGCGGAAGTACTAATGATACGACAGCGGCGAATGACGGAACTACAAAACCAACTGATGTTGCTAACAATTACAGTGAGTATTTACCGACCTTATATTTAGGATGGTGAATCGTTATCTGAATCAAATCAGTGTCAGATGCAAATGCTCCAGTTGATGGTAAGTGTACTACATAAGCCCCTCTCCTTTAATTGTTACTAACCTTTCATAACCTCCAGGAAATGATAAGAGCAGTGATGAATCAACAACGCATAACAAATGCTCACCCTGTGAGCTACACCTACCAGGATGACCCCCATGGACATTTTGTCCATGCTCCAGATTAGTTTTAATCACGACCTATGATTTCGCCCTTTATATTTTTATCTACTTGAATATTTTATGTATCATCCATGTATTAGTTGTTTAAACCCGACCAGCTAAGCAATTGGAGTTAAGTGAAACCCTTCCTTCGGTCAGCATTGTAATTCTCAAATTTATAAAACTTGAACTAGTAAATGGCACTGCCTTAAGGTGTCGGCATGATGAATGCAGATGAGGGCTAGGATTCTTTCGCCTTTTCAAGTTCGTAGTTTTGTCCATAAGGTCTCAGTTAAGGTCGCTTGCCAAAATGAGGCTTTATACCACAAAGATGTCTCACTTGAATCAGACTTGATCTTGAAAGTCCACCGGAAAGTATGCAAGATAGTGTTCTCTTGCATTTGACTTGTATTGATATTCTTCGCCAATAGATCTGAATTTTTATCTATCGCTGTACCCATACTTGCTCATATTTGTCTGAAATATCACACAGATCCTCGATTTACCAATGACTTGGAAAGCTTGGAATCCAGATACAGGGGCTTGGTAAATCACACACATACTGCACCCAGATGTTTACTGATACTTAGTGAAGAAGGAAGTTCAGAAATGCTCATTCCAGGTACAAGCTTAATTACGAGGCCGGAGGTTTACCC